AAATATATTCAACTGACTTGATGACATCAATGCAGTATCAGGATATAAAATATTGTGATATTTCAATGTATCAATATTTCTTACAGCCCTATAAATAACATTCATTTAAACACTGGTTTAGCTGCTTATCTTCATTTACAAAATTTACTCAAGTAGATGAAATTATTACCATAAAACTTCAACTTTAAGTGTATAAAGTACATGAAAAATATCTAAGTAAAAGTAAAGATACCTTAACAGAAAGTAAATTTGGTAAAAATAATTTTCCCTGATAAGAAAAGTACTTAAGTAATAGTAATAAAACTGCTCACAATAATCAGGAAAGTAAAAACAAACACTTTTCATGATGAGTTTGGTCATATTTAACTTTGTGTAACCAGGAGTTAAAATTTAAAGTAAAGAAGTAAAAGTATCATTTTATGTTTTAAATGTAACAAAATAAAAGTAAAATTAGGATTTTAAAAAAATGTGGGTAATATAAAGATCCTCAAAAATATCACTTAAGTACTGTATCAAAGTACTTCATCAGTACACAAATCTGAATAATTTAAAACTTTGATCATTAACTTTCTCAGAACAAGTGTCTGAACCAGTTTCTGAAGTGGAAACTTTGTACGTCGATTAAAAACGTAAAGAAAACAATCTAAATTACATTTCTAGTAAAACAATTTCAGTCAGAAAAAAGAGACCGAAGCTACAAAAAAGTAGAAAAAATAAAAGTTATAAAGTTTGAGTTTTTTATGAAAATCTCCTGTTTCTGACTTTAAACTGCAGAAATGTTGGAGTGAAGCTCTGCTTCTCATTAATAACACACTTTTATCTTCACACCTTCTTCTGTGAACACACACACACACACACACACACACACACATACTGACTACGCACACACATACTGACTACGCACACACACACACGTACTGACTACACACACAGAGACATAGAGGCATCAGCTGCTCTGTCATTTGGCTCCATTCGCTTGTCTTCACACCTTGAGGTCAAGCAGCAACATCCCAAACGCGCACGCACGCACGCACACACACACACACACACACACACACACACACACACACACACAGCTCTAACTCATCTCATCTCATGCATCAGCAGGTCTGCAGCGCCTCGTTTCTAACAGTAAAACTGCAGAGGCTCCGTCCCCTGACAGCTGCAGCCAATCACTGGCCTCCAACCACCTTCCTCTTCTTTAATATTGTGATGATGATGATGATGATGATGATGATGATGATGATGATGATGATGATGATGAGCAGAAACATCCAGGGTTTCCCTCCGTAGACCACCCTGTCTGTCCTCTACAGATCCTGGACTCACAGAGTCTCTTTGAGGAGACCACCCTGTCCTCTACAGATCATGGTCTCACAGAGTCTCTGTGAGGAGACCACCCTGTCCTCTACAGATCA